TACTGGTGGAGATCAAAGACTACAGCTTTCAGGACAGGTTGCACCTCAATGTAAAGAAAAACAAATCCTCACAACTGGACCAAGAAATAATATTATGGTAAGTGGAAACTGAAGTTGTCAAAGAGTTCGATTTACTTGAATTCACAGTCAAAACTCATGGAAGCAGTAGTCAAGAAACCCAATAACATGTAGCACTTGGTCTGTGCCACAAGACTTCTTTAAAGTGTTCAAGAACAAAGATGTCATTTTGAGGACTAAAGAGCACTTTACATAAGCCATGGTATTTCCAATTGCCTCATATGCATGTTAAAGATGGACAATGAACAAGAAAAACCATAGAAGAATTGCTGCATTTGATTTATGGGGTTAGGGAAGAGAATGAACTAATCTGTGTGGGAAGTAGTCAGAATACTCTTTAGGAGCAAGGGCGGTGAGACTTTGTCTCTCATATTTTGGACACATAATCGGGAGAGACCAATTCCTGGAGAAGGATATCGTGTTTGGCTAAGCGGAGTGCCAGTGCAAAGGAAGACCTCCCAGTGAAATGGACTGGCACAGTGGTAGCAAACGTTGTGAGATTTGCACAGGCCTGGGAGAGGAGGTGTTTCATTCTGTGTGACAGCACCTAATAATTTAAAAACTTGATTTCACACTTACAGAAAGTGGGTGGCTCAACTTACTGCAAAAAATAAAAGTTCTACTCAATACCAGCAACTCTATGAGACCAGGTACTTGTCTGTTTTGTATTGTATACACTGTGATATCAAGGCCAAATTTCTAATAAAACAAATGCTCTCAAATAGTTTGAATCATTTGTTTGAATTAGTGTTTAAATTACTGGCAATAGATTGATACCTGTGCCTTCACCCCACCATACTCCCATAGCCTCTCTGGTAACAAGTTAAGAGCAAACCATGTGTGACTGATTCCAAAGAATCATTTTAAGACTTGATTTTCCCTCCAGATAACATCAGAAGCACAATTTTCATCTGAAAGTAGGTCCTGCTCTTTATTTTAAAAAAAATCACAATCATGGAAAAACTGAGATGGAAACTTCTTAATGATATAATAGCAAAGGTGATGGATTGAGCCCACATCTAATTTCATTTTTCCCCAACTATCCAACAAAAAGGAGCTCTGGTAGCATAGTGATTACAAGTCGGGCTGCTAACCTCAAGGTGAGCAATTTGAAACCAGCTGTTATGTGGGAGAAAGATGAGGCTATCTGCTTCCATAAAGATCTACAACCTCAGAAACCCTACACAGGGTCGCTGTGAATTGGACCCGACTCCATGGCACGGCACACCACCACCACCACCACTCAATAAAACTATAGTAAAGAAAATTTTAGAAGACATTAACTTTCAAGCAGAGATAACGGCAAAATTTTGGAAGTTGAAAAGGTGATGTTCAGTTGGAAATTGAGTGGCTGGATCCTGGTGAAGAAAGCAAGTTGGCTTGATCTATGCAGTCTACTTTTCTAACACTCATAGAGCAGCAAGGTTGGGAAGGTGTTTAAGATGAATCCTAGACACCCTTTCCCGCTTAAGCCTCTGGGGAACCACTCCTGCCTAGTCCAGCTCAAGACCGTGGAGAGGGTCAATTTGAGGATCTCAAAGGCCCCAGAGACAGCTCAAGACAGTAGAAGTTTGAGCTTCATTCATAATCAGATCAGGGGGTGTACACACTCCAGAGGCCCTCTTCCCCTGAGTGGCTTCCAGAATTCAGGGAGTCAGACGTTAGCTACTTGGCAGAAGTCCAAGACCATAACTTTCAGGGATCCCAGAAAATGGTTCAGCAAGAACCAAACTCAACAAAGGCTACCCACATGCACAGAACGTCCTATCTGCTTCTCAGGTCTTCACACCTCAACAGGAGTTACCAAAGACTACCGGACACCTGAGAAAGAATGAAAGATAGAGACCCACAGGACAGGAACAGACTGGAGGAAAGGACACAGGGAAGAAAGGTGGTGAAGCCTACTGCCAGACACCAGCTGTGGGAATCCCTGGGGCAGTTCTATACTGTCTTACAGGGCTGCCAAGTCAAAATCAACCTCACAGCAATACTTAAACACTTGGCTGCTAACTGAAAGGTGAGCTGTTCAAGCCCACCAGCTGCTCTGCTGTACAGGGCTTCCAAGAAGCAGCTGGTGGGCTTGAACTGTGGTTTAGCGCTGATCCTACAGCGTCACACCATATTAAAGCCTTGGAAACCCTGGAGGGCAGTTCTAGTCTGTCCTACAGGGTCACTCTGAGTTGGAATTCACTTTAACGGCTCACCCGTCTGTGGTGGTGGTGATGTGCCATGGAATCGGAACCGACTCATAGCGACCCAAACAAGGTTTCTGAGGCTATAAATCCTTACGGGAGCAGAAAGCCTCATCTTTCTCCCACTGAACAGCTCGGGTACTTTCGAACTGCTAACCTTAAGGTTCACAGCCCAATTCGTAACCACTATGCTACCAGAGCTCCTTACACCCATCTGTAGGGTAGAGAAAATTGGGGCTGCGGGGGAAAGTTGGAGTCTTTAGGGAGGTAAGAAATGCAGATACCAAATAAATGCACACATACACACATACACACATACACACACACACACATACACACACATACACACACACACAAAACACACACAAAAAAACACACACACACACACACACACAGTTATTTAAAAAAAAAAAGGAACACAACTGAACTGCTGGAAATTTAAAACGTGACTGCAAACACAAAGGGATGAGTTGAGGAACTCTCCCAGAAAGTAGAGCAGAAAGAGAAAAGGATGGAAACTTACAAAAGTATGCACACGCACACAAGGACCATTTCAGGAGGTCCAGCACTTGTACAAGGAGCTCAAGTAAAGGGGAGCAGAGACCACAGTGGGTAGGTATCTGGAGGTGAGCAAACAGAATTCTCATACAGCATAAAAGTCAAGACAACCTGCGATGCTTGAGGTGCCATGTCCCCAATGGACTGAACTGGCAGTCGCCAACAAGGAGAACATCAAATTAACAGCCTAACGGATGGGCTGGTCCTTACAGAAATTTATACAAAATGTTTTGAGACTTAACACTGAGTGCAAAAATTTAAAAAAAAGACAAACCTAGAGATGATGGGTAGTCATATCTAACTTCAAGAGAAGAAACCCAAACCCAAATCCACTGCCTAAGTCCATTCTGACTTAGAGCGACCCTAGACAAGGGTTCCAAAATTATAAATCTAAGGGAACAGTCTCCCATGTAGCAGCTGGAGACTGAACCACTGACCTTATGGTAAAAGTACAACAGGAATACCTTATTTAGAAACATGGACCTGCAAGAAGAAACAGCTGGGGGGAAGAAAGGAAACATGAACAGGGGATTACTGAATTATCTTACAAGCCTTATAAAACTACGTGAATGAGCCCAGCTGATGTGAAGTGAGGTGCACAAGAATGCCCCAGCTTGTACATAGTACCCATTTGACCTGGCTTTGAAGGCCTGATGATCATAACTCGACTACAGGAAGATAAAGATTAAGGAAACAAGTGTAAATTGCTCAATTTGATTAACTTGACCTATATTTATGGATGTAGTAGCTCAAAATACCGAGAAGGAAGGAGTCTTCACATCCAAAATCAATCCTATACCCTCTGTATACAGGGTTGATAAGGACATGCAACTTAAAGACATTGACTACCTAAATTGGGGAGGCTATAAAGCCACAAAGTGAAGGGCTTACAAATTTTCAAGAAGGAGTTTCGTTTCAGCGTGTGCTGGGTAAGGTAGAATCCCCACTGAATAGTTTTCATCTTGTCCAGACGGGTCTGGTGAAAGGAGATGGGGATAAGATTCTTATGATTCAATAGTGACTAACTGTTATCATGACTAATTGCGACGGTCACAACTATAGAGGTAGAAATTGTTTAACAAAACGAGGGGAGCAGTTAATCTTGTAGTCCAGGAATAGCGAACCCTAGGACATCAAGGGAGAAGAGCACGAGAGGAATGTGGGACCCAATCCAGAGAAGTAGCGATATCAGAGATGGGGGCATGGAGAGAGGGAGCAGCTGAGGACTCTAAATTCATGAAAAGAGAGGGACTGAATGCTGGCAGCCAGGAGGAAGGCTTGCAGAATGGGCCCTTTGGTGGTTTAAATGATGATGTATTCCCGAGTGGTTTTGTGTACATCCTCCCCTCCCCCCCAAAAAAGCCCAAAAAACCCAGAGGGAACAGAAGCAGATAGATACTGTTGAATGATGATGCTTGGAGACTGTAATCATTGCAATAAAACGATGAATGTAAAACTGATGTTCTCCCATGTAAATTAATTACTCAATTCACAATGAAAACTTAAAAAAGCAAAACGAAACAAAAAACTATGTGAATGCATTAAATAAAATTAAAATGACTTTGAAAGAGGCATCCTGACTCCTCACGAAGTTCTTTAATCTTCTTATCTATAATGGTTTTTCTTTCACCATATTTAGCTTCCAAAATGCAACAGTAACAGTTATCAGTATCAAAGATCTAAGGTGGGTAAAAAAAAATTAAAGATGAAAAGAATACTTTGAAATCGTTTTATTGGCTCATAAGACCTCTGCATATAAAAAAAACCCCAAAACACTATGCAGTATTAAATCACAATTACTTTTTTTTTTTACCAATTGAAATTACGCAGAATATACATTTTTTAAGCAAAAAATTCCTACAGAACTGAAATTGTGAAATGACATTATGACTTAAATACTATGACAAAATAGATAACCCCTTATAACATGAATTGCACAAAGTTGCCAGAGATTTTCACAAGCATGAGCAGTGTACAGAGTGCAAATGAACACAGCCCCGAAGCCACACACAGAGCAGGAGTGACGGCATCACTACCATGGAACCCTTACAACCCAGCACAGCGTGTTGGTCTGCTCTAACTCCGCCAGGCAGCCGTCTCCACCACTGGTTACTGCTTCAGCCGGGTCTTCCTCAGAGAGAGGGACGACCTTGGATTGCGAGGGCCGGACAGTCAGCAGCGCCTCTGCTTGAAGAAGTCGATGCCCCGCAGTTCTTCCGGTAGGTACTCCTGGTCCACGGGTTCGTTGTACATGGGGTTGTACTTGTAACCTTTGCCATAGCCCAGGTCCTTCATCAGCCGGGTAGGAGCATTTCTCAGGTGCAGTGGGACAGGGGGCAGAGGCCCCTGGTGGTTTCTCAGGCAGGCTTTGACATTGTTGTAGGCGCTGTAGACCTCAATAGACTTGGGGGCTCTGGCACAATAGACCACACACTGGGCCAGAAGCACCTACAATAGAGGAAGCGAGTTAATTACAAAGGCACCAGAGTGTTCCTGTTTTGCAGTGCACTTCAAGACACCTGTGGTTAATTGTCAAGTTTCCCACCAGCTTTTACTATTCACCCCTCCACCTCTGGTGTTATCTTTGCCTACAGTCTGGAAAACCAACTGTTACAGAGAAAAGAAATTCCACACAAAGTGAGAGGCTGAATTGGATGAGTGGTATTCTTTTCTCACCTGCAGAACTTACATAAAATAATTGTTTCCTTAAAATTTCAATGTAAATGCATAAATATGAAGTGTCTTGGTTTGGAGGTGAACTCTGCAAGAACCAGCTTCCTTCACACTTGTGCCTCCAGGATCCCTGAAGCCCTTTTTATGGACCCCAAACTCCTAAAAACAACTGGAACGTAGGGCCTTGTGGATAGTAGGCCCGTGCCTGTCTAGTAAGCTGAGATGTAGCATGAGAGTGAGAATGCACAGATGCTTACTCAATGGCCCCGCCATCAGTGGTCATGGCCCAAAGAGACCAATCCACAAAGGGACAGAGCACAGGAGAAAAGGCTTGATGGCAAAAAACTGTGCTGATTACTTTACCTCACATTCGGGCATGCCTATAAAGTGACAGCCTTGGTAGGCAGCAACTGCTTGTGTTAATGCAGACGGATCTGCCAGACCTGCCACACAGAGAGAGAGACAAAGGAGAGTTTAAGTCACAACACACTCTCTGACCAGTTCACACACTTTCAGGATGGCAGTCACTGTGTGTTCGACAACCCCAAACAACCACATTTAGCACAACCGACTGGCTCTTCTCTGATCTCGAGTGGCACTGTGTATAGGGATAGTGCTAAGGATGATTCCCCAGTGGATAAAAATGCTTCATCTTGTAGGAGAACTGAGAGACTAAGGAGCAAGCGTCATGAAGACAGTCACAAGAGTGAACACAGGAAAAGCAAAACATTTACTAAGACCAATGAAAAATGAAGTGTCTCTGATCTGTTTCTTTGAATAGTATCCTTACCTCAGGAGCTGCCTAATGAAAACCCTAACATGTGACTGCAGAGCTCATTTTAAATGTTTTCCTTCCGTTGGAAACTCTGGACAGCCACTTAGCTGAGAGGCAGTGGTACCTTTAACATAGAGAAACTAAACAAAAGAGCTCAGCTTCCAATCTCCTATCCTCTCATTACTGTCCCCCACATGATGTCACCAAATTCTCAGCTGACACAAAAGCACCATTACCCTCCCCTTGACCGGAGCAGTGCCAAGTTTTGGGCCTTTCCCACGCCACTTACCTATGTCCTCGCTGGCAAACCTCACAAGCCTTCTCGCCACATACAGGGGATCCTCTCCTCCTTCAAGCATGCGGGCCAGCCAGTAGAGGGCGGCGTTCTGGTCGGAGCCGCGCAGGGACTTGTGAAGCGCAGAGATGCAGTTGTAGTGCTCTTCCCCTAGACACCAAACACCCGACATGCAAGGCTCACAGAGGAGAGCCACAGCCATGCTGTCAACTGCCTGATTTAAGGGAAGTTGTCAAAACGAATGGACTCAGAAAGCCAGAGGACAGAGGGTGTGGCGGCTGTTCGCACACAGTTCTGCAGGTGGGGCAGGTGGGCAGCTGCTGAAGGGACCCTGCACTGCCCACCTTGAGAACAAACCACAGGCAGGGGCAAGGGTGAGGAGATGTTGCTCCTCCCAGAACCACCTTCAGTGGTGATGTCAAGGTGAGAGGTGAAGAGAGAGTGTTCCTTCATGGGCCCCACACTCTGTGAGGACAATGACCCTGTCCCTGGTGGTGGCCACTCTGATGGAAGACTGTCGCTCAGTGTCACTGAAGTCTTTGCCCCCATCTCCCATGTGTCAAGTCTTTGCCCCCAAGTCCCATGTGTCAAGACCCAGGACAGACAAACAGCTCTGACTCACTCAGGAGACACCACAGCACCTCTCTCCTCAGTAGGAGTCGGGTCCGACTCACAGCAACCCTGTTAGATAGAGTTCCGGGGAGCGGCTGAAGGGTTTGAACCACCAACCTTGAGGTTCAAACTGACCTTTTGGTCCCATGCTTTGTCCTACAGCGCCACATGTAAGTGTTAAAAACAATTTTATTCTATGCATCCTTCCCTTTTTGCTTTTTTATACTGCTTTATAATCGAAAAATTTACATCAGTCATGTTAGAACTTGACTTCAAGGCATAGAAGAAAACTTGCTTTCATTTGGAAACTTTTCTGACACAGAAATAGTTGAGCTAGTTACTAGATCCCCCCAATGAGTAAGTATATACTGGTAATAATCAAGAGTCCTGGTGCAGACCTGTAAGACAATGAGCTGGACTGCAAGGTTGGTGGTTCAAATTCACCAGTCACTCTTCGGAAACCCTATTCAGGGGTCTTTTGCTATGAGTTAGAACCTACTCAACGGAACTTACCAATAACGACAACAATGTGGTGCTAGAGGATATGCACTGGACTGTTAACAATAGGGTTGGCGGTTTAAGCTCACAGCCATGCCTCAGAAACCCTACACAGGGTTGCGTTGAGTTTAAACCGACTTAATGTCACTAGCAACAACATGCAATATTTAAAAGAAACAAAAATCCTGAAGCAAGTGTCTTAGTCTCAGCAGAGTCTCACTAAGGCCCAGGGGTAACACCCTCTGTTACCTCTTCCAGCCCTACTGAGGGAATGACATCTGCAAGAGAGCAATCTCTGGGACCAGACAGGCAAGGGTCTGAGGACCCTATGAAGCAGATGTGTCATGGTGGTGGGGGCAGGGGGCATGACCACATGTGGAGCTCTCCAGACCAGTTGTGAGAAGACCGGAGGGCCCTGTTCTTCCTGAGGTGGCACAGAACTAGAGAAGCCTCCTGGAATGCACGGCTCCCTGGACACGAGGCTCCAGGGAGAAACCCGAGGACTGGACATCGAGCACGACACGGAAGCACGCACACACTGTTCCTGGACTCATTGAGACTGGAGGAGAGTGTCGGCTTTATTAAGTGCCTGTGTGAACGCATTCTCACCATAAACAAGGCACTAAAGAAGCACCTCATGAGGTCATTGTATGGTGCAGTGGTGAAGCACTCAGCTAGTAACAAAGGGTCAGGGTTTGAACCCACCAGGTTTCTCTTCAGGAGAAAGATGCACAGTCTGCTTCCATACAGATTTACAGCCTATGGGGCAGTTATACTCTGGAGTCCTGGGATGGCACTGTGGGTTAATGCCCCAGGATGCAAAGTCAGTTTGAACCAAAGTCAGTGGTTCAAGCTAGCCAGCAGTTCCTTGGAAATCCTATACAGGGTCGCTATGGATCGGAACAAACTTGACGGCACTTCACAACAACACTGGGTCTCTGAGTCAGAACAGATTTAATAGCAGCAATAGGTTTGGTTGGTAAGGTTGTTATGAAAATTAAAGAACGCAATGATTACAGGGGAGCAGACGCTACGCGGGATGAGAGCTTTCTAGGTTTTAACTGACCGTCTGGTAAAACGAGAAGGAAGAACCCTAGTTGGTCTTGTCAAAAGGAAGAGAGAGACCCAGAGGACAGTCTACTGTGGACACTGAGGGATGGGAGAGAGACCCAGAGGACAGTCTGCTGTGGATACTGAGGGGCGAAAGAGAGACCCAGAAGCAAAGGAGAATTCAACACAGGGGATTGTTTTTTCGTCTTTCAAAAATTGTACTTTTTTCCTATCTCTAATTTCTGTATACATTTGAAAATGTTCTACATTCAGAATGTTTTATTTTCCAGACTTGTCAGATATTCACATGACAAGAGCAGAGGAGTAACTGAGATAGGTTAAGGGTCCCAGGCCACATCATCATGATGTCCCACCAAGGGACACGTTTCCAGGAACAAGTAGAATAGGTAAGCCCCACTCTCCTTAGGACTTTTCACCAAATACTCCTAATACGCACTCTGTGCTGATTACTACCACACAAAATGTGCCAATAATTTTCCCGAGACCAAGCAAAGTCCACTCATGAAGAGGCAGATCCTGGACAAAGGTCATTTGTAAGCCCTTCACCGCCCCGGCTCCAACTAGTCAGAAGTACTCTGTCGTCAGAAAGTCCTTGAGAATATTGTTGACATGGTTCGGCCTACGTGACGCACTGGAATGTTCAACCATCAGTTTCCTTTACTGGCATGGCTACTGAAGGTGGTACTACACTACACTTTAACTCTGCAGAATCCACAGATACAAACGCATTAGAGAAGCCCAGCCTAAGCTACATGGTGTGATCGTCATCACTTTTTATAAAAAGATACAAATCTTTTTATAAAAAGATACAAATGTTATGCTCATGACATTTGATCCTGCCAGGTCACGGATGGAACAAGGGCTGATACCACATTTGGTCTTTGTAAATACAGCTCTAGGTTAGCAGAGGAGTATACATACAGAGGTGGCAAATTCCTTTTCTTATAAAGCTATTACAAAAGGAATGCTCCAGGTAAACCTAACTCTTAGTTCAGATTCTGGGGTTTGTCAGTAGGAACTAATGAAAATACGTCACCAATTCTAACAGCCCTCTGAAAGAGTCACTGGTCACCAAAGACACAGCCTCTTGGAGACGCTTGTGCTCTACAAGGTGCCATCAGAGGCAGTGAAAAGAATCTAACAACCTTCAAAGATCACACTTGAAGCCTACAGCTTCACACTCCATAGCACCTGCGTCCTAGTTAGGGACACTCCTGCTGTGAGCTCTGGGTAGAATGGAGGGCACATGGACACCACTTACTCCATCAGGCGTTCACACTTTTCCCCTTTTCAGGGACTTACCTGCTCGGTCATATAAAACGTGGGATCGCTGGAGCCCCTCCTTGACGTCGTTTTCCGTGATCAGGACTCTACTAGGAGAGTATGTTTGCCCACTCTTCTTACAGAACATCTTCCGGGAACTTAGCCTGGCCAGAACTGCCAGCTGCAGCCCACTGAGCCCGGTCCTGGCGTCCCCGTCGCTGAGGTAAGCCAGCGTGTCCACAGCTTTGTCTTCGATGAGCACGGAGGGCCTGCAACACAGCAGTGGTGGTTACTGTCACCGTGCCCCACTCTCCAATCCGAGCCCTCCTGCCTCAGGCCGCAGACAGCTCCCTCACCTTCCAGGTGAGCCTGGGGTCTCAGCTCTTGTTTTAATGAGTTTTAGCATTTTCAAGTCTGAGAACTCACCTGGCCCCCACAAGGGTACTACTCACTGTATACACACACACACAAAAGCACAGGGAGGCTCAGAGAATGGAGTTTTCTATGTCCCACAAACTTTGTGAAGGTCCCTCACAGAATCACAGTCATGTGTACACATGTGTGAAGGAGACACTGCTTTGGAAAGTCACTCTTCTTCCACCTACAAACATCGGGCAACAGCAGCTGCCAGAGAGAACTCTGTGGGGGCACTTTAGCACGGCGCACAGAGCATATCTGCAGACGGCCCGGTTCTCAGGAGACACACATTTTTACATGACTGTGTGCACACACGGCATTGGCAGCATCACTTCAGTGTGTATGTTCTGAATGGCTCCGTAGACTGTGTGTCCCACACACCAGAAACGACCTGGCAGCTGGCCTCTGGAACAGCAGGATGCTTCATGGTGGACACTCATCACTAGGTGCTAAAGCAAGGACTGGAAAGGTCACTTGCCTTGGAACCAACCAGAAGATGTTGGGTAAGTTACCTTCGCTCTCTCTGAGCCCCAGGATTAAGACTCTACAATTTATTTCTAAATTTGGACCTTAGTATAGCAGGCCCAACCATGAATAGTTTCCAAGTCTTAATCAGCAAAATTTCACTGCACAGGTAACCACAAAGTTGGCAGTTCAAACCCACCAGGTACTCTCAGAAACCCTAAATAGGGTCACTATGAGTCGGAACCAAGTTGATGGCACAAAACAAATTAGATATTTAACATATTTAGCTATCTGTTGTTGTTTTTAATTGCCATAAAGTCAGTTTCGGACCACAGCAACTGGTGAGCTTGAACTGCCGACCTTGTGGTTCAAACTGACTTTGCAGTCCAGTGCATTTAAAAGGGTATTATTAATTCTTGACTGAGCTGAAAGCTGCACATTTGTGAAGCAAAATAATAGTTTTTGAAAACTTACTCATGCACTGCTAATCTTCAGCTAAAAATACTGAAGGTAATTAATAAATCAATCAGGACTATCCAATCAGCAATTGAAAGAACATTACCCAGGCATCAACTCAGTTGGCAACGGAGGAAGGCCACAAAGGGGTCCAACTGGTCTCCAAAAGTCACTGGAGAACCCTTCCTGTGCACTCATACCACCTGCCTTGGGGAGGGACTAGAATGACATATTTGCATTTCATTCACGAGAAGATTTCGTCCACATTTTAAACACTGGTTCCTCTCCTTCACTTGTTTACCCAACGCCAAGATTTCCAGTTAATCGATGTGGATCACCCACCACCTAACCCTGATTTCTCTTTGCTCTCTCATGTCATCACTGCCGGGGCCCCAGGCCAAGGGCGTGGCTTGGAGACCAATCTTCTCCCTCTCCCAGAGGGCGCCTCATCTCAGCAGAGACCATGGTGGAAAAATCTTTGGGTCATTTCACAACACTGTTTCACTGAATTTCTGGAAGAGGATTTAGACCAAGTGAGAGTACACACACTAAGGAAAGTGTATAATGTAGGAACTGAAGGCAAAGAAGGGTGCTCAGACTTGCGATATGGGTGACATGGAATCACAACCTCATGACTGTTACTGGCACACCAGAAGGGCAAGACAGGGAGGAGCAACACTGTCTGAGAATCTCAGTTCATTTCCATGCCCATGGAAAACTTCCTAGCAACCAAGGACCTGCAGGACACTTTGGGGGAAGAAAAAAAGTAAAGCGGGAACCCTCATCAGCGCTATCTTAGTAGTTAACTGGCCCTCACCCAGATCTGGCTGGCTGTTGAGCACGCCTAGCATCCCTCCCCCCACCAAGTACCGCATCCTCAAGGGCAGGAAGCACACAGAGTCTTATATCCCCAGTGCCTGGCACACAAAACATGCAAAATGAATAGACAGACAACTGTCCCACAAACTTGGGAGAAAACAATTTTTTTCTCAAAAACTGTATTATATTCTAAGTATAAAGAAGAAAACAAAACACAACCATATCACTCTGATCCATAGAGGGCAGCTAACACAGCATTCACTAATTTTGTCTTTAAGCACAGATTTGTTTAAATGGTCTTCAGCTTCAGCCTGAACTTGCATTTAAGCAATTGATGGTTTATTCCTCAGTCAGCCCTGGCTTTTTTTTTTTAGCTGGTGATATGGAGCTTTCCCACTGTCTCTTTCCACAAATGTGCAAATTTGATATGTGTCTTCCACCTGGTGAAGTCCATGTGTATAATCCTCTTTCACGTTGTTTAAAAAGGTTTTTGAAATAAAGAAACCCAACAGTCTTGTAAAATGCTACCATGAAATTTCCAGTATCATTTTTATCACCAAAGCCATGTTTTCTAAATACTGGTCCTTCCTCTGTTTCGAACCTTTGCATTCCAATCACCAGTAATGAGCAATACATCTTGAATGCATGTTTGATTAATTTCAGACTGAAGAAATTGCGAGACTTCTTCAATTTCATCATCATTAGCTTTAGTGGTTATTGTGTAAATTTGAATAATTTTGGTTGTAACTAGTCTTCCTTGTAAGCATATGGATATTAATCTATCACAGATAGCATTTATACTTCAAGACAGATCTTGGTATGTTCTTTTTGATGATGAGTGTGATGCCATTCCTCTTCAATTTGTCATTCCCGGCATAATAACCCATGTGATTGTCAGATTCAAAATGGTCAGTAGCAGTCCATTTCAGCTCACCAATGCCTAGGATCATTGATGTTTACTGCTCCATTTCATTTTGGAAAACTTTCAATTTTCCTAGGTTCATACTTTGCACATTCCAGGTTCCAATTATTAGTGGATGTTTGGACTACAAAATCAGTTTGAACTGCAAGCTTGGCGTTTCGTGCTCATCAGCAGCTCCTTGGAAACCCTACACAGGAGTTGCTATGAGTTGGAACCTACTCAGTGGCATTCAGCAACAACAGCTGTTTTTCTCTTTGAGTTGTGTCCCATCAGCAAATGAAAGTCCTGAAGGCTTTGCTCCACACTCGTCACCACGATCAACTCTACCCAGAGAAGGCAGCTGTTCCTCAGTCACATTTTGAGTGCCTTCCAACCTGAGGGGCTCACCTTTCAGCACTGTATCTGACAATATTCTGGTGCTCTTCACGATGTTTCAATATTCAATATTCTGATGCTATCTGATAGTGTTTCACTGCGATTCATAAGGTGTTCAGTGGCTAACCATTAGTAGTAGTCCACCACTCCTTCTTCTCTTAGTCTGGAAGCTCCGCTGAAACCTATCGACCGTGGGTGACCCTGCTGGCATTCAAATTACTGGTGGGGCCCAGCATCACAGAAACACTCAAGCCACCACAGTGGGACAAACTTGACAGAAAAGTGGTGGAAAACTGGCAGAGTGCTGGTTACAGTTTCCTATCATGCTGTTTTACTTAACCATTAAATTGTTTTTTTAAAAAAATACATGCACTACTCATCTGAGTTCTGTTTTAAACACACAGATAGACACACATATTACCCTACTGTTGCTATGTTGTTAAGTGCCATTGAGTCGGTTTCAACTCACAGTGACCCTACGTGGGTTTCCATGGTTTTAAATCTTACAGGAGCAGAAAGCCTCATCTTTCTCAGACAGAGTAGCTGGTGGGCTTGAACTGTGGACCCTGTGGTTCGCAGTCCATTGCTTATCATATGGGGGCACTGCCCTCGTACTGTTGTAGTTTAAAACTAGAGGTAGGTGTACTACCCCAACATTACTATGCTGACACACACCTCTGGCTGTGGGATTGCCCTTCTTGTACACTTGGGGCAGTGAGATAATGAATGGTCTTATGCAATCTGGTCCTTGCTGTACCCTCCCCATTCCTATCAGTCCCCACAGAAACTCAGGAAGTTAGCTGTGTTAATGACAAGACAAGCAGAAAGCTTCATAGACTCAATCAAAAGTATTCTTTGAATACATCTTTTATGTACAGGGTCGCTATGAGTCGGAACCGACTCCACAGCACATAACAACAACAAATGTAGTTTAAGGGTTGGAAGACAGGGTCTTTCTTTCCATTTTTATAGTCCTAACCAAAGGCCACGCTGTTCTCTCACTAACCTCTTCACCAGGTAAGAGGCATGGGGTGTGAGCAGTGCCACAGCATAACCACAGCTTGAGTGCTCCCAACCAAGACTCCACTGGCTCCATGCTCTGTCCTCCCTGGGAGAAGAGCCACTTTTCAAATCCTACCCGGGCCAAATGAGCGAGTATTTTTAAACACAAATGAATCTGCCAATAACTTTATTCCAGCAGAGATCCCTCCCCTGTATTCGCCAAAGTTTGCTTCATGACCTTTTACTTTTACAAAAGACTCACGTTAGCAGCTGCTTGTGTAAGGGCTCCTGAGCAGCAGCGAGAGCAGCCTGGTTAAGTTGCATCTCTGAACACCATGTGCTAGTGTTACTTGATGCTTTAGGTTGTATGGTATGATTTGGTTGGTCAGTTTTGGAGTCTAAGAACACTCAAAAATTTTCCCATACAAATGAATCGTAACTGCATCTTCACTTTAAGCCATTTTGGCTTCCTAAAGGTTCATGGGAAAGCCCAACTTTTGGGTAGCAGGAGGCAGCTGATGGCAATCACAATGCACACACGGAAGCTCACTACAGAGGAGGCAACCCTGAGGCCCAGCTGAAGACACCTATCACCACAGACTCCTACAAGAAGACACAATGAAATACCTTAAGGTCTCAGGAGATGGAGAGAGATGAGGATGCTCATGCCAAGAATGATGAAATAAGGGAAATACCTACTGGCACTTGAACAACTCCTCAGTAAGTACTAACTGTTGTCCCGAATATCGTTAAACAGTAACCCTATGCTAGAGAGTTTAGCAGTAATAGTTTAATTTGTTGTTGTTAAATGCC